ATTTCTTTGTGAAAGGAGCTCTATTACTATTACCTTTGCTCAGACTATTTCAGAGAAAGTTATCCTTTAAAAATGCGCAGGACAACATCCACTGCAAAAAGTGCAAAAAACACATGGTGTAATATTTACTGCAAATTCTAAATTCAGTTTCCTAATGTAGTATGACTGCAAATTCTAAATTCAGTTTCCTAATGTAGTATGAATATACATATAGTAACTAAGCAACTTCTATACTGAAAATGTCCAATAAACATTATCAATACTAACAAACAGCCTGTTGTACACACTTGTGGATAAAAAAATATTAATAATGCTGTTCAGTGTCGAACATTCCTGAAGTCCTCTTTTCTTGTTATCTGATACATTTATGTTAAAGCTTTTTTAGTTTCATCAGCTTGGATGAAAAAGTTTACCAACTTTGCTCTCAAGTCTTTAATGCTGAGTTATTTAGCTCAAACTCTGTATTTGAGCTATTTCTGTAGAGCTTAGAAACACCATTCCTAGAGTTTAGAAACACTATTTTAAATGGATTCAAAAATAAATGAGGCAAATTCTACCAAGCCTAGATTTTATTACAGTTTCCTCTCCCAACAATTTAAAATTACCTCATCTTTAAAAAAATGTATTTGTAGTGTTTTCTGTATAGAGTTACCACTTAGACCACCGAAGTCTTGATAACATTACACTGAGCTTTCTGTAGAGTATCTGACAAAGCAATTCCTGACCCAGAAATCGGAATCTTAAATCCTACCCAATTTTTCAAATGTATTTGAAGTTTAATACGCATAGTGAAATTATCAAGCACTCCCAACATTTGTAGGGACACACAGCATCACATAGAAAAGATTACCTGAATATATCCAAATGAAGGAAATTTTATAACATTGCATCCGTTTTTAGAGGCTATAACTGAATATGGATATATCTATACCTACATATATAGGTCTCCTTTGTGTGAGTCATGATTTTGTGTTTGATGTTAATACAGAGCTATAGCAAAGCAAAACAAAAAGGGAAATGTGTTTTCATTACAAAAACAAGCTCTTTGATGTTAATGTAGGAAATTATTAAACAAAAGGAAAACCTGGCTTGTCAATACAGACCTAATTATATGTAAACATATGATTCACAGCTTTTTACATCTGCCATATAGCCAGGCCCCCCAAACAATGTCACATCTGAATGCCTCTGTGAAGACTTCTGTGCATTAATTTCATCTGGTGAAACCAACACTTCCTCTGGGAGTACTGACTGAAGCTGTCGGCACTTGGCTATCTGTCTGTCTTCCCTTCTGTTGTCCCCATGGGATGTTGATCTGCTGTTCCTTCTCTGCCCCCTGCTCACCAGTCCTGATGCTATCAGGCAACAAAAATAATAAACCTCCAGGACCTTATCTTGGCTCGGATGTGAAACAACTTCCTACCGTTGTATTTCTTTGTGTATTGAGAGTAAAGCCTGGATATTCTGCAAATGGACAACTAATGGGGTTTTCTAGCTTCCCCTTTTTCCTGCCAGGCAGAGCCAAGAGAAAGCTTAGCACGCAATGGCAGGCACTGAAAGAGGAAAAAAATAAAAACTGTCAATAGAGTCATTTAAAGACCTGTGACAACAACAGCTGAGTTTATCAAATCTGCAGGATAACACTTAACCTTTCAATTCCAGTCTATTTTAACATGTGTACAGCTTGGTATTAATAGCTGAGAGTTATAAAAAGTGTGTTGCTACTCATAGTGAAATTTTTCGCTCAACTTTACTGCCTAAATATTATTGCTGAAAGCAAAACCAAAACTTTTAAAAAACCGAACTGAAGATTTATTGGCCTTTAGTCCCATGCTGGCTCAGCTCCATGAGCCAGAATTACACTTACTGATCTTGCTTCACCTCAAATTCAGTAGCTTAGGTTCATGATTATTCAATGTGTCTTGTTAAGTTTTAATGTCAAATTGAGTAAATTCTGATATTTCCCAACATTCCCTTACTTGTATTATAGAATCAGTTCTCACCATATCACAGTAGTATTGGATCAGAATGACATCTGTTTCATACCCATAACGCCTAAGTTTTTTACATTTACAGCTTCAAGAAAGCATGAGTTTACAGCTTATTTCTAGGATCCAGAGGGCAATACAAAATTATACCAAATCCTACCAGGCACACAACACAGAGATGTCCCCCCGCCCCCAAAGCCAGCACATGTGCTTTTAGTTTGAAGATGTTCACTGCCTGAAACTGCCACAGAACAAGGAGTGTGTGATTGTATAAGATACAAGACTGCATTTAACTTTCATTCAAAACAGCAAGATACTATGCCAGATATCTAGAAGAAAGGTGTCATTTCAAATCTGACCCTTAAAAAGGTTACCTGACTTGTGCACTTTCAATACCACATCATAATCTCATCTTTAATAGACCCATACAATAACCACACATCTGTGAAAACCACACAGATGCCTGCTTTCAGGGCCCGCCTCCACTTCCTTTTAACTTTAAAAGAAAAAACAGATTTTTGATCTGTTTTTGTAAAATCTAACAACATGGCTTCCTAAGGGGGCTGCCAGCCAGCTTAGCTATGGAGTGTGACAAGAGACTGGATAAAGCACCCATCTTGGATATGTGCTAGGCTGGCATTTCTGTCCCATCATCTGCTGAGGGCCTCTGGTAATCACACTTGCACACAGAATAAGGTAAATGCAATAATAGGTTGCTGCGACCTTCAAGTGCAGCACCTTCAACAGTGGAGACTGAAGCAGCTAAACCGAGAAGAAACCATAGGAATAGGCATAGTCAAGCAAGTAGCAGTAGTGAGTGAGTGACAGCATACTCTTGCTTACAGTAAGATTTCCCAGGGTTATAAAGGTGCAGCTGACAGCAGAATTTTATAATGGGTCTTCTGCAGTTTCTTAATCACAGAAGCTGGAATGTCTGTTTAACCCGCCAGCATTTGAAAAATCCAAACTAGAGCCAACCACGCATTTTATTATCAGGCATGATACTGCAGATGACCACTGTGGCGATACTGCAGGGTGACAGGATGGTTCTTCTGGCATAGAACTTAAGCCTGATAACGTTCTCCACTTCTTTCCTATACATTGGCATTTTGACACATCACTTCATAACTTTGCCCAATCCAACCTCAGCTTGACCTTAATCAAAATCTCATCTGTGTTCCCAGTCTTGGTACTCTCTCTCATCTTGTTCTGGTGCCTGACACAAACCCCAAATTAGTTTCTAGACCACTACCCTTTCCTCCTTCAAATCCCTCCTCAAAACCCACAAGGTGTTCACTAAAACATAGCTAGCTGATAATGACTAATAAAGACCAATTCAGTGTAACTAATGTTCAGTTTACAAGAAAATATTGAATACAGTAACTAGGGTAAAAAAAGTTCAGAACCCTTACCACATTGATAGCAGCATGCACCAATTTTACAAGGATGTTTTTGAACATTTCATTTATTACTGATAAACTTTCAGCATGCCTGCCACAACTTGAAAAAGATCTGCCTCTTAGTCAGTGCTAGGGCAGTAACTGGTTCTTTGCCAAGTCTGCTAAGCTGTACTATTTCTTGTAGCATTGACTAGTAATACTTACTAAACAGAGTAACCGTCTCAGGAGAGAGTTTGTGGCAGCCATGGTGCAATCAGTAAACACCTGGGCATCACCATCACTGTACATCTGAAGTTACTTGTGTCTGGAGACATGTCACTTTGGTCCTACTCAAACAACAACAACAAAAAAGCAACTCCAAGTGACATGCAACCAAATGAAAACCTTACAGCATGTCACAGACTTCTAACAATTCTATTTGTTTTGTTCTCAAGGTCCTGTACAAGGTAAGGTGGGATGGAAACATTTGCTAAGAAGAAAGCCACAGTTCACCTTTACATTAATTCTCCCACACTAAGCTTGCTTTAACCAAAAGTTTTTGTACACCCTTAAAGGATGGCTCTGCAATCTCAAAAACCAGTACCCAACCATGATTCCCAAGTGAGGTCATTGGCTTCAATCTCCTAGACACTTATGGATGAGCAGAACCTGTATTCTGTAGAAAATGTCGCAGTAATTATACTGATTTCATTAAATTATTTTGGAGCATTTTCCACCATTTTTTCATTTATTTATACCACCACTCAGGTAAAGGCTAGACACCACCAATCAACTCAAACAGCACTCAAAATAGTTCCGAATCCAAAACATTCTCTCCCATGCAGATTAGAGGCATAGCCTAGCATCTAACTTTTCCTCAACATGAAGAATGGATTTTTGTAGTTACAAGTTGGTAAAATAAGAAGCATAAAATAAGAACTACACTCAAAGTTTATGTGTGGGTTAAACAGAAGAAGGAAGAAGTACCATCTAGGCCTCTGTCGATGCAAACAAATTACTAAAACATTAAAAATAACCCTGTTGAATAAAGTCTGACTGAATAGCATTAAAACTAGATATTGGGAAAAAAACTAAAAGCACTGGCTGACATAATGGGAATGGCAATTTTCATTAGGACTGCAGAGAATTAAAATTAATGAGACACACACACGGGAAGTTCACAATGAAGACCCAGAGCCTCAGCAAACCACATCACATTAGCACTAACAGTTGTCTGAGATCAGCCAAGGTGCATTATGTTTCTCTGAACAGTTCAAAGGTTAAAAACTGGATGGCAAGATTTTGTTTGCATAGACAAATCTAAAGCCCATCCTCTTTTCTATAGGGGCTGGCAGAGAGATGCGCACTGGAGACCACAGCAATATTTTACCATATGGGACTTTTCAAAGAAAATCTCCAAACAAAATTTCTGTTTTCTTAGTTAATCCAAACTGATTTGGTTGTAAGACTTGAAGAAAACTACTATTAAAAAAATGTTATGTACCCTTTCTTGATATTGAACAGTGAGAATCTTCTTTTACTGCACTACAAAATAAATCTGCCAAGCATCCAGTCTGACACAAAGGACAATATGTTTGATAGCACATGATGTGCAACACCTGACACCTGTTCAGCTTTACACTGAGATAAAGTTGTAATTCCTTTCTATAGCAAAGATGATATTCAAAGATACAGTGGCTTTCCTCTAAGCTTATGAATGCAAAAGAACTTGAGAATGGTTGTTCCACTGCTCTCAAGGAGAAAACTCTTTTTGTAAAGCTAAACTTAAAATCTGTTGCTGGTCATTGCTCTTTCTGTTAACAATTTACTAGCACACTACCTCACTTTCTCTGTCAAACTAATTCCAGGATATTTTGTAAACACCTGCTTAGTTTAATCATCAATTCAGTGTTGCCCCTCCACGAAGTAAGACCCCATTAGATATGTAGTAACTCAGTATCTTTTCTAAGGATTTTGTGAATAATCAAATTCCAGTTACAGCAGCAATCTTTTGCCATGTATTGCAAATTCAAATGGAAATACTACTTGCCAATTCCTTTTATATATTAGCTGTCTTGCAACTGCAGCATTCAATCCCCAGGATTCAGTCCTCCAATAGCTGAAACAAACTCACCCTACAAAGCATGACTGACCTCCTGCAACTTTGCCCTCTAGCTCAACAGTTGCATCTGTTTATAAAGGTATCAATCTCTGCCCTTTTCTTTGGATGAAGACCCTATGTTCAATCTGTACATGCACACACTTACCATTGCTTTGTAGCTCAGGTATATTAGGCACCCAACATATAAATTTTTGTGTGTCCCTGAAGGCAGAGGGAATACCGTATAATAATAAAAGTTTATTGGTTCCATATTAAACAAAGAAAACCAATCTCAAAATCTTATAATTTCAGGAGAATTCTCACAAAAGCAGAAGACAGAGCACTAGTAAGAGACAGAAAGACATTACAGGACGAGACAGGCAGAATCAAATAAAGGTCAAGAAAGAGCTGTTTCACTGAGCTAGAACATAACAGTATAGTCACTCAGCAAGGTAACACAGGTCCATCACAGCTACTTACAAAAGCTTTGGATTGCAACCTTTAAATTACATTAAAAAGTATCAAAATGGGGGGGAGGGGGGCTGTGTCTCAAATACTTTGTCTGGTTCAAAAAAGCTGCTAGAAAAGCAGAGAGCATTGTGCCTGCTTTTATCGGCTTACCCATACAACAAGCAGAAAATTACACATTCCAAAAGATAAACAAAACTGTTCATAGAAACACAACGCAAATTTTTGTCAAAGGGCCTACATTAAGAGGTAATACTGTAGCTTACCAAAATCAAACTATGTCCCACTGTCAGTAAATATTTTTAACATTATTCATAAAATCCTACAAAAATTCCACAATGCGCTTACAAAAATTAAGGAAATATCTACTATAATTCAGGCTACAATTAGTTAACAACAGCGGCTGCTTTTTAACTAACTCTACAAGCTGACTTTCTTCAATCAGTATTGTAACTGGCACATCTGCAGACAGGAAATCCTCAACACTACCAAGCTTCCCAGCCTATTATCTGAGACACCTGGTGTGGGTGTGTTGATACAGAGCAAAACAATGAATCATACCGACTGCACATCAATTAACCAGCTTTAACTGTTAATGTGTTTATTCCTTAAGGGTGGAGTGCCAATTAGAACACTGAAAAAAAAGGTAAACACAAAAACCCCAAACCCTCAAGCTGTTCATTTTGCAGTTTCTAGATACGGATTATAACTCAAATCTATTACAAAAATTATAATACATGTAGTTCTGTATCAAAATAGTGAGTAGAGTCACATTAACACTGAGTTGCAACAGTATATCATGCAACCTTGGTCCATTATAATTAACACTAAACCAAGATTTTTTTTCTTATTATTTCAATTTCAGAGCTCTTTTTTCCATCTTGGACAAAAGTAAACAAACTGACTTGACATTTCACAGGTGTGGCTCCACCTCAGTGTACTTTTACCAGAAAGCTTGAGAAAAATCAAATACAGCATTTAGAAATCCACTTTTTGGAAATATTTTCGTCTCACCTAATGATTATTATTTTACAGTTTTTAGGATTGTCACATCTCTGGATAGCATGACCTTTTTTGCTCTTGGCTAGCACTAGTGTCTTTGATTGGTTTTGGTGAGCATAACTTATTACTATAGGCTGCTTCCACAATTTATAGAAGCTCATTGCACTTCTAAGAGAATAGTAATCGCAGTAAGCGAAAGAAAAAGTTTGTCACAACACACAACGTGCACTCTGGGGTATTAAGAAGATGTAAAGCTGACTTAACCAGGGGAAAGGAACAGGACAACAGATTTAGTCCATTGGACAAAATACAAAATGCTGTAAATTATCTATTCCTGTTTCCTGTAATGTATCTATTCTACAACCACAATAATTTAACTTTATCTGTTATCAACAAATTAAAGAGTAACACTTCCCCACAACTCTAAAACAGTAGTGTCAGATAAAAAGAATAGCATAAAAATTAAGTAGTTAAAGGAATTGCTAAAGCTGCTAAAGTAAAATTGATCATCCCTCTGCATCAAAACAGATTTCTTGGGCACTAAGTTTAAGCCTATTTACTTTGTTTGCCAGATATCATCTGCTTGCCAAATATCACTACTACCTTTAGTCATCCATTATTTAGCTAGAATTCCAGATATTCACAAAGCTTTATAAGCACAGAAGACAAGAGGTCTACTATTCTAGTGGGCTTGCAGTCCATCTGACCCAATATCAGCAACTGAGGGCCAACACATAACAGCAACAAACGAGCAGCTTGGGGAGGCAATGCAGAAAGACTATTTTCATTCCTGAGGGCTGGAGCCTCATACCAGACATCATTTAGTGTGTTAATCCTTACAAGAAGTAGCATTTGACTCAAAGGAGGCAAAACCCAGATTTAATTCCCATTTCTGGTGATTATGCTCATAGCCATTTGTCACAAAATTCTTTTAAACTGATTTACTCTGACTTAGGCATCATATATCAGTTCTGAGGGGTCTGAGATACATGTAAGTTCCTAAACAGATTTCAAAAAGCTCTGAAGTTCCAAGGTTCCCTGCAACGAGCTTGGATTTTTAGGGACAGTTACTTTTCTTTCTCTGAACTGGATGATGGCTGCAGTGACAAACTTAAGCAGCACAACTTAGAAAAATTCCTAGAAGAAATGGTAGCCTCTTGAACAGGATAAATAGGAACTTGTAGTGAATAGCTTCATGAATAAGTCAAAAGTATGCAGAACACTACCTGCACCACAGAGGTTACTAGAATTCATGCTCTCACCCTTTAGTAAATGTAAGGAAGACTAAATGGTGTCCCATTTATTGCAGCTCATGCAAAAACAGCTATCACAGATTTCTTCCATTCACTGTACTTTTCATGTGTTTTTAGACTGTAAGTGAACAAGTTAGGCATGCAAGAAAAGAATTAAAAAATTATCAATGTTTAGGTCACTAAATATTTAACATTGTTAACAAAAAAAAAAGGAGGCGGCTGTTTGACCCCTTGCAACATGATGAGGGGACTTCATTTACAGAATGGAAAGTGTTGCAAATAAATGTTAACATAATCAAGTTTACCTACTGCCCACATCACTGTGTCAAAGGAATCGGTTTCTTCTGTGCCCAGTTCAGTATTTTTCCAGGTGACTTGCAATCTGTTGCTCTCCAATTTTTCAACTTTGGTTGGGAAACATCTCTTTAAAAATTTTGTGCCATAAGATTCCATGTGCTCAGTTACTAAAGATGCCATTTGCTGTTGAGTAAGGGAAAAAAATTGTTTATTCTTAGATATATGACCTTTCTAATGTAAAGCCCTCCCTCAGCTGTCTTCATGAAAATCCAGTACACTGTGCATTTCAAACATTCTTTGTCACTTAGTATGCATCGTTAACACATGATAATTTATTGAGCCACTATGACGTGCAACTCCATTCCAAGAGGCATCTACATCGGAACATTCAAATTATTTTCAAAAAGTAAAATAGTATATGAATAAAACAGTTGCTTTTGAATAATTCGATGCTTGCATTAATTCCCATTAATTCCCAAATATGCATCTAGAGCATATTCAGTTTAATGTTACCATTTTCTGGCAGCTTGATGAGAATTAAATACTTTCATAAAGCTAAGGAAAAAAATATTTCCCTTTGACATGACACCTGTCATTTCTCTGCAATGACTATGAATCACTAAGATTTCCTGGAAAGTTGTACTACAAAAAGGAAATAAGGCTTTTGTCCTAAGAGCCTGTTTGAAGTAATGCCACACCAGTCAAGTAGTGAAGTGTCATACTGACAGGTTTATCCAAAGATGTCATTGCTCTTTGGACAACCAGTAAATCTGGTTGCACTTTGTCAAAGAATATGTCTATTACTTAAAGGATATTATCACAAAACCACTCACACAGAACAGCTACATGCAAGCTTTCAGGTTACAAAACTTTATTTTTGAAGTTGATATTAAATAGTATGAAGATAACAGCAGGGTTATATCTCTTCAGGAAAAAAGATAGCTCACTAAACAGCTTCCATCAGACTCAATGTGGCTACAGACTGAACATAATTATTTTATCTCTGTTAATACCTTCTCAACTTTGAAATGTCCATTGTGCTCTTCCTGCCTACAAAGGATCAAGTTCTCAGAGAAAGCCCTACTGTCAGTGTTTTAGAAGTGCCACACACACACTCCTAACACTACTGCCTGCTTGCTCAGATGTCATACTGTTACAGGTGTAGATTTCTTCAATGATGAGTGCAAATCCCAAGACACATTCTTATACAATGTTTTGCAAACTCTGGTACACATACCACTAGTTTTAAAGAAGCCACTTCAAAGTGGGAGTGTCTGGCATGCAACCAGAAGCTGTCACTACCTGCAGTGGTACTTGTCACTGCTGCTGCTAACAGTAATACTCTCTCCTCAAAAACTGTGCTGTTACACTAGAAAATAATTTTCCTATACACCATGTGTGCAAAGAAGTTCTTAAAAACAAGCCCATAGTTCTATCACTCTTTCATCAACTTTGGGCTGTAAATGTTTTGCACTACTGCAATTAAGCATTAAAAAAAACCCTAACTCATGACACCAGGAATAATTAAGTTAATGTGCTTTCATTCCCATTCTGAAAACACTATTTTCAAGTGATTAACACAACACAGTCTTCATTCTTAAGGCTGACATTTTCCAAAGTTATTTGCCTGAGAAAAAAATTTGTTGGAAACTTCAAAGAAAAAGTTCACTGCACGTGTGAGTGAAAACCCAGAACTCTCTCACTGTTTTAAGAACACTACAGAAACTTTTCCTTCCAAGTAGCATTAGCATCAAATCTTGCAGGGACAGAAGATTCACAGTCACCTTTAACATACTCTCCCTACAGATCTAGGGACCAAAAAGAGTATCAGGCCATCAAAGAGATCACCTAACCTGTAGAACAGAGGCTACAAACTCACATCCAAGTAACACCTTTACTGGATCCAGTAACTTGTCTTTAATGTAAACCTGCTATACTACCTTCTATTGCTTCTTTAAGCAGTTATACCTTTTACACAAATCCTTTTTTTTTGTTGCTGTTATCTTTTCTTGTTGTTAATTGCTTTTATTCTCTTCATACAAGAATGGGTTTCTGGCCAAAATTGTTTTCTGTTTTGTCAGAACAATCATGACCACTTATGCTTCTATATAAAACTCCTCAAAATCTTTCCCAATTTTGAAACACATTTTTTGCTCTTTAAATTACCCTGCCTGAAATTTTTTACTTTTGATTTTCTTCAGCTTAGGGTTAATAGTTCCACTGAAATAACTTTTTTTTTTTTTAACCTCGTTATAACCACCACTGTTTTGAAAGTGGCAAGGTCAAGATTTACAATTCCTATGTCATTACAAACTTTCAGCTTAGTGATTTATTTATATTCATCATGAACTCCACACTGAACTACTTCATATTAAGTCCAATAATTTATTTTAAAAGTCATTATCTGTAATTCCTAGAAATTCAGGATTATTTTAAAGAGACCGTCTAATGTTTTTAGCAGTGGCATAAATCCCTCCCCTGTTTCCCAACCTTGTCAATCTTGTTTTCAATTAAGCAGGAAGAAAAAAGAAAGATTTACTTTTCTGAGTACAGTATCAAGAGATATGATAGAAAACAAGAGCTAATATTTATTTAGTTTCTCTTCAGAAAGCACATACTAGGAAATGTTTGGAGAAGCCAATGACACTTTTTCTTTAGGAGACAAAAATAATCAAATATATTTTTAATATATTGTATATATAAGGAGATGTAAGATATTCCATACTCACCTGATCAAACCCACGAAGTGGGATGCTTCTCATCATGACTGTAGTGTCTAATCCAATGCCTGTTAGAAAACCAGCACATTCAAGTGAAACATCTGATGAAGCATCAGTTAAGGAAATATAAACAATAATTTCATATAAATGCAATATAAAAGGGTAGTATAAAAGTGGGCTTTTTACCTACAGATATCAAGTTCTCCTTACACAGACATCTTTAGCTTGCTTTTGTTGCATAGAATAAAACTCCAAAGCCTTAAAATATTTTCCTCATAGATAACATTGTTTTTAGGATCCTGAGAATTCATCTTCAGCTGACCTGAATTCCCATGATGCTACTGCATTGAAAACTATTACTATTCTATTACCAACTCAACTACAGGGCATGAGCAAAGGAATTCTGAAAATTGAGCTTTCATAGGAAAGGCAGATATGCTGCTTATAATCATAAATCACAGCTTTTTCAAAGGATACAGCTGGCTCCAACAACCAACCTGTTACATAAAAAGAAAAAAGAAGAAAGCAGTGGAATGAGCATACTTCTGCACAACCAAAAAATTTATTCTCTGAAGTATGTATCAAAATCAAAATTACAGGTTTGAGGAGTGGATCTGATGTTGTTAGATGGGAAAAAAGAGCATCATTTGTCAACTCCAACAAAGACAACACTATAACATGTGGGTTTATGTTATTAACAGAATGAAAAAAGAACAGGCTTATAAGACATAAGGAATTGTAAAAGACATTTGAACACATACTCTGAAAGATAAACTGAAGAAAGCCATGAAAAACTCAGAGAAACTAGCAAGGTTGAGAGGCATCACAAGTATTCCAACTGCATTCTATGATGTTTCTCCGTTGGTAACATCTGGAGCAGACATTGACAAGTTCTTCCCCCAGTGCCTATTGCTACTGATGCCTCATCTTTACAGGGCCTCTTGGCACCACTGCCTCTGAGACAGTAGGCAACATATAAACATACAGACATCAGCAGTCTTGTGGGAACTCAAGTACATCACCAAATTTCTAGAGGTATCTTAATTACTAAACATATTTTAAATTATTTTTAAGAAACTTAGGAAGATTATGAATTTCAAACATGCTATCAAAGTAGATTACCGTTCCCAGTAATCCCAACATTTTATTCATTGCTAAATTTCATTTTGATTTATAAGCATCTGCTTTTTCATTATCTTATTTATCCAAATGCCAAATATTTACCCTTCCCCTCTTTAAAAGTTTGTGTATGCAGTTACAGAAAATCAGTTTAATAGATTTACTTAGCCTAGTATTTACCAAATACATCCATTTCAGATCTTAAATGAAACTCCAGCTCCCATTCTCCCCACATTTCACACCATTTCAACCAAGAATTTTAATTTATGAGGTGTTATCAGCTCTCCAGCACAGGAGTTTCCACGCCTGTCCCCAGATGCCCTATACACTGCAGCAGTCCTCTCTCTTCTGACCATATCCTCAGTTCCCTACGTCTGCTGAGTACACAAAAGGCAGAATGCTCAGTCACTGTTCCGGAGGTAAAAGTGGGTCCAACTGGCCAGTCACTGACACTCAGCTGCTGGACAGGCTGCATTCACCTTCCTTTGCTGTTCATGTGTTATGCAGACTTGTTAAAATCTCACAGGTTGGAGAGGCATTACACATAATATTCCCACTTACGACAAAGGTTTTTGTTCAGTTTTTTAATTAGGGAAAAAAGCGTCATTAGAGATCAAAATTTCTAGTTACTATGAGAACAGTGGAGAATGTTAGGCTCTTTCTGACTATGATTTTCATTTATGGAAATACATGCTTTATAAAAAACTTTCATCCTCATGCTTTATAAAGGACTTTTCATCAAAAAACAGCAACACAAAACCACAGCACTTGGAACCCACCTGAATATTTGGCACATTTTTTTGTTTATTTTGGACTTTTTTTTTAAAGCAGATCTCTCTCATACTGCCATATTCAAAAGTTAAAAAAATAACTGGATTTTGGGGCATGGAAGTAGTAGTTTGCTAATTGCATTTTGGAAAGCTAGAAATTTAAAATTTACTTTAATTTAGAAATTTACTTTAAAAACTCAAAGTACAAACTCACATAATCACAGAGTTTAAATAGGTTGTTTAAAGTTAGGAGGATAAGCAAGGTAGCATAAGCTAATGCATAAGCATAAGTCACAGAACATTATCGTATTCTTTTACCCATATCCAACCTTGTTTAATTGTTTTGAGGAAGATTTATCCACACAAATGAAATGCCAGCAAAGAGAACAGTTGCACAGAAATAATCCACTGAGTAAAGACCTTTTCATTCAGCAGTTGTGCCTCCATTCATTAAAATACTTTAAGCAACAGAAGAAAACTATTCTGACAAAACATGCTTCAAACAAGTGGAAATTCAAAGTAGTCAGATCACAGGAAGGAATACATTTGAAATATCAACCTGTGGCCTACACAACCCACACTTTGCTTGATCCCTGGCCAAAGTAGCATACGCTAGTGTAGTGCTTCACAAAATAAACATAAACCCTTAAATCTGTGGAAAAACACACACAAACTGAAGGCCACCACAAAGTGGTGCAGGCATTGCAGCCTCTTTATAAGGAGGTATCATTCATCAATTTTAACTACAATTTAAAAGCAATGATCCACCCTGTTACCAGGAAAACTACTGGTATACACACTTACAAAGACAGAAATGTGTTTCACAGAAGGACGTCAAGAACCTTAGGAAATTAAAATATTTTATATGTAAACATGTATGACAACTAAAAACAAATATTAGAGACATGATGGATCTCTGCAGACAGCAAATTTGGCTTATCTTTTTGGCCTGCCACTGACTAGCTAGCCCTAGGAAAGTTATTCTTCCACAATATTGCAAGTGAGAAACAAGTCCAATATTTGGAAAGCTCTTCATACACAGTCTATCCTATGCTAAGATAGCAGAGCAAAATAGTAGGTCAAACATTGGCTTGTGGACTATACTTTACCCTAAACCAATCTACACCACCGCCTAGTTCTAACAGAGATGCTTTTACACTTCTGAAAAGTGCAGACATGGGGGCTGCTGCTCCGCAAACCCCAGGGATTGCAGAGTCAGTACAACATGTTTTCTCACAAAAGACATTAGATAACATCCATCTATCCTATAATAAAAACATACAACTTCTGAAGGTGTACAGAGAATAGGTTGAGCTAAAGAGATTAAAATCTGCTAGTGTGGGTTTTATGTTTGGCGAACAATTTAACACAGTGGGAAATAAATTCTAGTATTAGGACATCTGATTCATCTGTGAATCTTTTAGCATGTAGCTCCTGGGAAGTGCTGCAAAAAAACACACACTGCCCATAAAGAGATATCTAATGGAGATTCACAGGGAACAGAATGAGAATATTTGTAATTTGGGCATATGTTTGCCTTTTTTTATTTCATTAGATGAAAAATAGATGCCAGCTGGCATTCATTCATAGTATCAGCAGCACATTATTCACAATTTCTTCTACAAACTAAAGGGTTCCTGGGCATTGTCAGTGTCTAATAGAACATTTAAGAGAGCAGAACCTAACCTCCTTCACACCTGCTCAATCTCTCACTCATTCTGAACGTATTTCAAGGCATATTTTCTAATTCACTCTGCCAAACCCCTTCATCTCAGTAGTGAGAATTTCTTCACAATGTTTGTATATCTAAGGGACTTTTAAGTTGGTTAGCAGTTTGCTTTTTTTTTTTTAATATGAATAACTGCAGAACTGACAGTTCTATAACCTCCAGGCATGTAATTTGTAGCTGAGATATGTACATTTGGAGAGAGAGAAAAGAAAGAATAAGTACAACACAGCTCAGACTAAAAACAAAAGGTGTTAAACTGAACCTTGGGAATATTTATAATAGAAACATATCCGACAGAAACAAACCTTTAACAACTCCCTCCTTCATTTGCTAGGACACAGCCTGATAAAGCACAGAAATGCTACTGTAGCCCCTGCAGGCTTATTTTGACTAAATCTCAGGAATGCAACACATAAACACTAGACTCCCACATTACACTGTTACAACTTGCATTAGCAGCAACTGGACAAAAGCCACATTTTCACAGAAACATCTTAGAGGGATAAATCTTATGTTTAATTTTTGTGTGGGGTTTTGGTGGTTTTGTTTTGTTGGTTCTTAAAAAAATAAATTTCCTCGCATAAATCACGTTCTCAAAATTCAAGAGGTGACTGTTATACTACAAACAACAGCAAATTTACTTTCCTTTTTAAACTGTACCGAGGAGCCTTGTTTATCTATTTGATGTTTAGCTTAACACAGTACATATTTTATATTAGAAAGTCACAGCCATGAATGGAAGCTCTGTTTTCTTTCAAAAACACCAGTATTATAGTTTCAAGCCTCTTTTTCTTATATGTACTTTGCTTTTTCTAGAATTGCTCAATAGAGAAAAGAAAAAAATAGTATTATCTGTCTTTCATGCTAGCAGATGTGCATTTCCTATCACAACTGTTTGCATCAGGAAATTGCTCTGTAGTGCAATGCTGACTCAGAATCTTACTGTGCTATGTGCTGTAAAAAAAAATATCACTATGGCATTTTAGTATTTCAGTTAAACAATAGCTCCCAAAGCATAAGAAAAGGCAAAAGTAACCCAAATGTCTCATCGTATTTTCTTTTGTTATCAGAACTGCCACCACTTAAGAGAACATAAAATTATGTTGGAGTTTCTTTCCTAGTTGAAGAGCAATTTCACATATACCAGTAGCAAAGAATAGGGACAGTACAACCTTCGTTTAAGTTTATGCTGCCCTCTTGTGACTTCCACGTATAATTGCTACAGCCAAAAAGTCTTAACCAGATGGTGAAAATTCATATTTAATTTGATTTTATACAGGAATTGCATAAGGGGGGGCATATCTATTAGTTACTAATGAAGGTTGGTAGTGTGATGTTGATGCATAGCTAAACAAATTCTCAGAAGGAAAACCAAAGGACAGAAAAACCGGTGTATAAAAGGCAATTTTGAACATTTTTCACCTTGCCATAAAGTACGAATGCCAGCATCTATTAAAGCCATGGTAATGTAACTTACGTTTTTCCAGGAGATTCTTTTAACCAGAATAGATCATCACTTGTGATTCCATACTCCAGTGCACCTGCAATCTATGAACACACAGGTAAGATCCTGAATCTACAATGCAAGTCCTGGCAGCAAAGAAAGCTAATAGACACTTGGGCTGTATTAGCTGAAGTATAGCAGTAGATCAAGGGGAATATATCTAGGCTTGCCCAGATATGTTATCCAGTCTCCATTTTTGGAGATCTTCAAAACCTGCCTGCAAAAAGCCCTGAGCAACATCATCTGACCTCACAGCTGACTCAATAGCGGACCCCAACCTCCTTGAGCAGAAGGTTGAACTAGATGACCGCTAGAGATCGCTTCCAACCTGAATTATCCTACAGCTCTAAGCAACATCAACATATTAAATTGATGCAAATTGTTTTCTATGGAAATGTTTTTCTGAAAAGCCTGTGTTTTATACAAAAGATAATTTTTCACATGATACAAACACAAAAATCTCTTATGTGTTACTTTATATTTACATTCTCTATCCTCCAAACATTCATCATTACCTGCAACAAAACCAGTAAAGCCACTGGAGTTGTCATATGTCAAGTGTAACTTACGTGCATAGGGTATTTTGGTCTTCCTCCAGTAGCAATGACAATATTTTCTGCAGTGACAATAGTCTACAAACAAAAATACAAAATCAAAATCAAGCATTTGAAATTCTTTTATCTGTCTTCAGGTTTTACTTATGTACAAATGAGTGATAAATGAGAAAGCTGGCACTATCATCTGCTATTTAGATGACATAATAATCAGCAATGCATTAAAAAAAGGATGCAAATAAAATAAAGTAATAAATGCAGAAGTTTCTCCTATACATTCTCTACCAGGTTTATTTTTAAATATTAAGCTTACAATTGTTCCTATACTGGACAAGATTCTGATGACTACTTGGAAGCAACAGTTGTGTACAACCGGCTGCTTTTTAAAATCAATTTTTGCTTCAGACAAAACACATGGAGATCACAGCAAGTGAATTCTGTCTCTCAGGTCTGGAGTTAAACTAGCTCAGAAGTGGCATGTTTTTAGAAAATGCTACGTATCTACCCACAAAATTTTTGCTCTCTCAAGCTGATATTAACCAGTAACATTTTATAATTATCCTCAAAGAGGTGTTAAAAATGCATGTTAAATATGCAAAAATGGCCACCATTCTGTTACATGACCCAGTTGCTTGAAGTTGTGCATTCAGTAAAATGGCCTCCCACACACAATTTTGTAAGGGTACTTAGCTTTCTAATACAATTCATCTGAAAGAGGAAAACATCTCAGATTGATCTGATGCTCCAGAGCAATAAGGAGATACTGGTCGTCGTTACATGTCTGTAAGCATCTGTCAAAGCAGTATGACTCTGACCAAATAATCTTTTGTCTCAGCATTTCTGTCTCCAAACAAAAAGTAATGGCATCTAACTGACAGGTTAAAGATTAGGGATTCAGCAGGCAACAGTCAAGTTCATAAACATGTTCTCTAGGTGGAAAATGCAAATCTCCCTCAGCAAAACAACATTGAATACCTAAAGCGATTTGCAAAAGCTCCCAGTTGAACTGAAAACCAACACATGAAGACCTGAAATGTTTGAAGTGAATGGTACTGCAGAAATCAGCACAGCAGCTCACCTTTTTACCTGCTTTTGTTAAACCACGGATTGTATGTGGATCAGAAAAACTCCCTTTCATGTTGAAATATTTCACCTTCCTGTTTACAAGAAAACAACAACATAAACGCATACTTAATGAATGAAACACTATCAGCTACTTTTTCTGTATCTGAGGTGTTAAAAAGGATAGCAAACAGGCTTAGAAAAGTGAAAGGAAGAAAGCATCTTATTTAATAGGATTGTTTGCAGCTCTGTCACATAATTTAAGTCACTTAATTGTTGTGTCACAGTTAAATCCTCTACAGAGCAGAGTACCCAACCTTGTAACATGCTTTGGGATCACGTTATTGACCTCTTCAAATGATATGATATCCACTAGTCATTGCATTACTATTACTATCTATAACATTACTAATACAATGCCCATTTGAGAGCACACAAAAGTGACTCAGCAGGGGTCACAAGACTAAATTGTCTATTAATATAATTTTTCTATAAAAGGAACTGCATGCTGAAAAACTTGGAACCACTTCTGTACTGAAAGCAAAAAGATCAGCTGCTTTTGTATAATGTTAGCTGTGGGCTTGTATGGCATATAGATTTTGGTGGACAAGCTTAAAATTATCTTGAGAAAACCTGATTACTTCATATTAATGCAAAACCTCTCCAGATTAAAGACAGCTTTCCTTGATCACTACACTGTTAGAAAGGTTTCACGTATGGTCACTTTCAATCACTATTTCCCAGAAAAGAAAAGGAAGGGGGGGCAGAAATCACTTACATAGGCAAGGATATTTACAGTCCTGGGCAGAAAGGACTTAGAAACTCAAAATACTACCTCTAGTGAGAAACTCTAAAGGCAATTCAGCAATTCTACAAGGAGAAAAAGAGCTCCTTGACTATGAGAAGAAAGATAAATTTCAAAATCTTATTTACTTGTCTTGTAGTTGCACTCTGTGTCCCCAGTTCAAGGATTTCACATAATTCTGGACAGCTTTTGCCATCACAGACCTATCACAAAACAAGAAACTAAACATGAAGTCATCACATTACAAATTCAAATTATGCAACTCAAAGATACAGGCGATTGCTAGAAATTAGGAATGTTCTACAGTTATAAAAAAAGTAAATTATCAAGTCCAAATTAGCATAATATCTACCCCAATAAACCAGTAAATACAGTTTTGTGTTTTAAACAAAGAGCAGTTTAAAAAGCTTCATGCAATATTTACTTCCCTAACTGTCCCTAAATATCACACCAACTGGGAAAAGCTGTTACACATTTGCAGCACATAGGAGTGGATACGGGCAATAAACTTTACCATGTATGATCAACAGGTTGGGCTATATTCCAGCCATAGTGTTGAGCATCTTTAAGGGCACTCCCTAAAAGAGCTGCTTGATGCATAAGCTTTTTAGGAATGCAGCCAACATTCACACAAGTTCCACCAAGTCCCCATTTGGTTCCTTCAGAGGGGAAAAAAAAAGAAAGGAAAAAAAGGAAATGCATCAGGTTAGTGTAACAAATGCAATTGGGTTACTTACATGCAATTAGTTAAAAAGATCTGAAACAACACACCGTTTACTATCTCCTACGGATCAGTTTCTAACCCTGCTTATGTTTATCTGTTTTGATAAAAAACATCTCTATCTATTTTTCTTCTAAAATTCAAACCATCTCAAGAAATTTCTCAGAGCTCTGAAGATCCAGTGACTACACATTCACATTTGCTTATTTGCATTTGCAGATTTTATATATTGTACACGAAAAGCGTCAACATGATTCAATTCATCATTTTTAGAAATTGTAAATGACATTTTGACAGAGACAATATTCTCACATATTTAAGGCCAAAGCCCACTACAAATGGTAGCATCAATCTAAGCACCTTAATGTGCAGGAAAAGCAGGCAGACCTGGGACATCATTGGAAGGAATGAGCAGTACAGCAAGCTGGGCTTAAGGGCTTTTACTACAAGCAAAGCAGGCTTTGGTCATTTTGCTGCCTGGAGCAATCTGCTTACCTAGGCAACCATTTTATACATATGTCCAAATATTATCCTAGTATTTCTCTTCCATACCTTGTGGAGAAGGTTCCACATAATCCAAAATGGCCACTTTCCTTCCAAACTGAGCAGCTTTAAACAAAAAGCAAGACAACGTATTTACAGGAGGGAGAAACACATAAACCCAAACATTTTTAGTAGCTGAGGTACAGATTAAGTGTACAGGAGATGACGGCTGGTAGTTTATACCATCTAACTCAAGATGCCAGACTAGGCACCCAGGCTGTCTATGTAGTCAGCAGATTCTCCAGAAAGCACTTAATAACCCAGACTAGAACCTCCAGCTTCCACCAACACTAAAAATGCAATGTGATCCCAAATGAGATGTTTAAGAACCTTGTGGGTTGTTGAGCACATTATATTGAGTTACAAAGGGGCAAAGTTCTCTACAGCAGTTAAACGGTTCTTGGAAACAGTCTGAAGGGACTGTTGTTTTAACACATAACCAAGAAACAGTATAATTTTAAAAATACAGTATCTATGGAGGCACTCAGAGTGTTTTACAATAACAGTGAAATAAAAGCTTATTAGATTTTGCCATGACAAAAGAAATATTTTTTAAAAGTTAATAAGATAGCCAAACAAGATCACCCCACCCAAGGGTGTGAATTAATCTGCAGATTAATTGCATGGAGCTGAGTTAATGATTAATGTGCAGGGACTGAAGTATACTATGTTACTTAAAAAGCTTTAGCATTACCAGTAACACTTAGCTTCTATAAACACCACATAAACTAAAACAAAACTTTTGTTAGTTATTTATACACACAAACCTTCTTTTGCACAAGCAAGGCCTCCAGATCCTCCACCAATTATCAGAAGATCATACTCATTCTTTCCTGTGAAGATGATGTGAAAAAAGAAGGAAAAGGAACAGGCAAGGAAGATGGGAGAGGTATGTAAGAAGGTAAATATAAAAAGTACACTATTTTTTACAATTTATTATTGCTGATTTGGGTTTTCTTTACTAGAGCACTGTGTTTCTTCAGTGTCCCAATGCATTCTCCAAAAATTGTTAAACTACGTAGTCTGGTTTTGTGAATGAAATACAGAAAATAAAGCAATCCAAAAGAAGTAAGGAAATAGTTTAGATTTTTACACAATGTCCCAAGAAGCTCTTTCTACATGATTACACGGTTGCAGCTAGGATCCAGCATAGGTCTCCTGTCTCTGCATGACAGCAGCAAGGTCTACACAGCCTTTTCAACAGGGTCACCTTATCAGACTCACACAGCTTCAGCCTTGTAGGGGTGTGGTGGTCAGAGGGAAGCTGCCCCCTTCTGCCACCACAGCCTCCCCACAGATCAGCCCAGCCTTCCAGAGGAGTTTTACAGTGGCAGAAGCCCACAGGTGAGCAATAACTTGTTTCTTAGCACGGGCATCAGGGAACCCCCTGCTTTCAGAGCTGCCAGCAGTTCAGGGAGGGCAGCCGAGGCCTACAGCATCCCCACACCAGCTGTGCCATCGTATGGTCGGGTGGCTTTTCTCAGCAGCTCAGGGTGGGCAGTCAGACTGGAAAGGCTGATACCCCCGGCCGTTGGAGTTCAGCCTAGAGGAAAGGTTTGCTGCCTCTCGCGCTGCCCCGGTACCTCTCCGGCGAGCCCCACCGCAGGAGCGCAGGAGGCCTTGCCCACTTCACAGCCACCTGCGGCCCGGAGACTCCCTTAGCAACTCAGGGGCCGCGGGACGGCTTCGACAGAGGCACCGAGGGGGGGATGGCTCCG